TTATATATATATATATATATATATATATATATATATATATATATATATATATATATATATATATTTTTTTTTTTTTTTTTTAAGCAGTTTTTAATTTTTTAAACACCATTTTAAGGACAAAATTATTAGCCCCTTTAAGCCCCTTTATTCTTTTCTCGACTGTCTACAGAACAAACCATCGTTATCCAATAATTTGCCTAATTACCCTAACCTGCCTAGTTAACCTAATTACCCTAGTTAAGCCTTTAAATGTCACTTTAAGCTGTATAGAAATGTCTTGAAAAAATCTAGTCTAATATTATTTACTGTCATCATAACAAAGATAAAATAAATCAGTTATTAGAAATGAGTTATAAAAACTATTATGTTTACAAATGTGTTGAAGAAATCTTCTCTCCGTTAAACAGAAATTGGGGAAAAAAATAAACAGGGCGGCTAATAATTCGGACTTCAACTTTATTAATTTGAGTATTTTACTCCATGTACGACGGTATTAATTATACTGCAAGCTAAAATAAATCATGAATATTGCTTAGTCAGGTGGCGCAGTGGGTAGCACAATCGCCTCACAGCAAGAAGGTCGCTGGTTCTAGCCTTGGCCATTTGGCGTTTCTGTGTGTTTGCATGTTCTCCCCGTGTTGGTCTGGTTTTCATCTGGGTGCTCCGGTTTCCCCCACAGTCTAAACACTTGCACTATAGGGGAATTTAATAAACTAAATTGGCCATAGTGTATGTGTGTGAATGCAAGAGCGTGTGGGTGTTTCCCAGTGTTGCATTGCAGCTGGAAGGGGATTCGCTGCGTAAAACATATGCTGGATAAGTTGGCGGTTCATTCCGCTATGGTGACCCCTGATTAATAAAGGGACTAAGCTGAAAAGAAAATATGAATATTGCTTAGTCAATTTGTTAAAGTATAAATATTTTGTGTTGTTTTATTTCACGTTTTAGTTGTCAGTCCTAACCCAGATCAGCGTCAATTGTGAGTGTCTTAATTCTGCGCTCGGTGTCATGAATGCAGTAATGTTCAATGTCCATATCGACACACCTGAGGTGGAGCTGAATCTTCAATAACATTCATTCAATTCCTCATTACCTGGAAATTCGGGCTAATTGGTGTGGCTAACAGCTTCGGGCAAAACTGAGTAGGATTCATTTCTGAGAAAACTTTATGTTGGTTTGTTCTCTTAAAAACGATCAAGTTTCAAAAAAAGTCCTACTCAGCAAGAAAATATGCAAGAGATACCTTTCATGGGCAGAGTTACAAATCACTAGGCCCACACAGAATCTGAGTGTGCAGAAATCCGCAGATTTCCACAGAATTCAGCCCATCATACGCTTATTTCATGCGGCCGCTATTTTAAAGAACCAATTCGAATCCAGCGTCTGATGAACACTTTCTTCTTTTTCCCCCACTGCATACCAGATTTTGCCTACTCTTCATCACGAGGAAGACAAGTGGGAATCATTAATAAGTGTGTGTATTCTGGAAGACTCAGATTCAAAGAACTGAACTGGAGAGGTGTTATATATAAATCATGTGCATTATAAGTTTGTAGAAGTTATACATTAAAAATACCCTTAAATATAAATTTTAGTACTGCTGCTTGAACAAGTATTTTAAATCCATTAATTTTCACTAGTTTTTTTTTTTTCAAAGTGTGCTTTCAATGCTTTAAAAATAAGTAAAATCTTTGTAGACTAGAAATATATGTGCTTGTCAACGACTCATTCCCAGTCATTCCCCTCGCTGGCCAGCAGAGGTCACCATCCCCGGACTATTAACCATTACGTCATCCACTTACACTGATAGCCTGCACACCTGAAGCGCATCCACTTGATCACCCAACTATAGGGGTGTGGCTAGGTAGGAGCCTACAAGACATTGTGCTCAGGGGCCTCTGAATTCTTAATCCGGGCCTTCAAAAGATGGTTTTACATACAGTCTGTTTGTTCTGTCATGCTTTGCAGGGTGTTTTTCAATTGGGAAAAAAATGTCTGTAAGTTGTATAGAACTATAGTGGTTGAAAGTGTGTGTAAAATAGAATCATGAGTATGTTTTTCTGTGTGTTGAAAGGCACAGTTTACCCAAAACTGAAATTTGTGACCTCATTTACTCACACTTCACTTCTCACAAGCCTACTTTGGTTTCTATTTTCTGTTAAACACAAAAACACACACACAAAACCCTGTAATCATTGACTTCCTTAGTAGGAAAAACAAATATGGAAGTCAGTGGTTATCAGTTTCTTTTGTGTTCAGCAGAAACTCAAAGGTTTGGAACCACTTGAGGGCGAGTAAACAATGAGTATGTTTTCTTCTTTTATCCGTCTAACTATCCCTTAAATATAAATCTTTTCCTTTTTCACACTTCTCTTGAATTGTTTTGTTTAAATCTCCTTTTTTTCATTTATTCATTTTCCTTCAGCTTAGTCTCTATTTCTGAGGTCACCACAGCGGAATGAACCGCCAACCATTCCAGCATGTTTTAAACCACAGGTGTTAAACTCAGTTCCAAAAGGGCCGCAGCTCTGCACAGTTTAGTTCCAACCCTAATTATACGCACCTGATCAAACTAATTGAGTCCTTCAGGCTTGTTTGAAACCTACAGGTAGGTGTGTTGGAGCAGGGTTGGAACTAAACTGTGCAGGGCTTTGGCCCTCCAGGAATTGAGTTTGACCCCCCTGTTTTAAGGGTGCTCAACCCTGTTCCTGGAGCTCTACCTTCCTACAGAGTTCCACTCCAACCTTATCAAACACACACAAACTAATTAGCTACAACAGCTGAACAGCACTTGATAATTAAGGGCAGGTGTGTTTGATATGGGTTGCAACTGAAATCTGCAGGAAGGTAGATCTCTAGGAACAGGGTTGAGCACCCGTTTTAAACAGTGGACGCCCTTCTGGCTGCAACCCAGTACTGGGAAACATCCATACACACTCTTATGCACTACAGGCAATTTAGTTTCTAATTTCCCTACAGTGCATGTGTTTGGACTGTGGGGGGAACCGGAGCACCCGGAGGAAACCAACACCATCATGGGGAGAAATCCACACAGAAATGCCAACTGGCCCAGCCGGGACTCAAACCAGTGACCTTCTTGCTGTGAGGCGACAGTGCTAACCACTTTTTTTTTTTTTTTTTTTTACATTGTAATTTATTAGTTTTTGTTTTATTTACACTTTAGGTTAAACTCATGTTGTTTAATTAGCAATATCAAACATGGTACGGTCATTATAATTATCATAACAACATTATTTTTTAAGAATCCTAACACACCACCTGGTTGTATTAAATCATGGGAATGCCATTAAATGTTGAGGCAATGCTACAGTATACCAACTCATGAGAACAAGTAAATGAGGTCTCATGCTGCATGAGTTTAGCATTTAATGCCATTGACTTTATTAGTTATTGCAATAACAAATATCTACAAATTTGAACCATCAGAATTTGCATTATTATAGCAATTATCATAGCCAGACTACAGATCAGTAAACTGCTGCACTGAAAATAATGCTGTGTCTC